GGGGGGGCGGCGTGGTGACAGGCTGTGGGAGACCACACGCTATCCTACACGATATGGACTTTAAACATGTTCATTATTTCTTTTTTTCTTTTGTTGGAGAGGTTTTTGCTATAGGGCCTGTGCGCTCGCCAGAAAGACAGAGACAGAGAGACAGAAAGCGAGAAATCACCCCCCAGGGGGGATGGTGACACTGCAATCCCTTCTCCTCCATTCTCCTCTCAGGATCTTGGGCACGCACACACATGCGCCCGGCGTGAGTTTAAGCTATCGGGTCCAGGACTTGAACTGTGGTCGACTATGTGGGAGTCCAGTGACATAGCCATTACTCTAACTGCTTGTCCCATCAAACATGTTTATTATTTCTTCAATGAATGAGAGAGAGACAGCACCCCAGCAGTCCCGATGCCACCGTCCCACAGTCCACCCAGCCTCCGGGGGCCCCGGCTTATGGGCACATGCTGTCCAGTGCACGCAGAGAGGCCCCAGATACAAACCTGGAGCGTTTCACTGCTGAGCTACCACCTGGCCTGGGGCAGAGGATCGGACAGCCAACAAGACTAACTCGCTAGAGAAAAATAAGTCCTTTTCAACCCATCCTTCCCAGAGATAGGTGATTGCTTACTTTATAAAGAAAGCCATTCATTTCTTTTTTCAGTGAGTGTCGTCCTTGGCAGCTCACAAGAAAGCCCGGCATGGGGTTATCTGAGAAGAATGGAAGTTTAGAACAGAGGACTGTTAGGCCCACGGGGCTGGTGGCTGGAACACCGAAGAGCATGGGCCCAGATCTGCCAGCCTCTAGGAGTAAGTCAGGAGGCAGCCCAGGGGAGCGGCCGACCAGGAGGAGAAGGGGAGGAAGGAGGGGGAAGCAGGCTTTTCCTCTGCTTGTCCACCCCACTCCCAGCTACTGATGGAGACCTCCAGCAGGCCAGCCTCTGAAAGGTCTCCCCACCTCCCAGGGCTGTCACACCGGAGACTAGGCCTGCAGAACACACCTTCTGGGGTAAGGCATTTCCCAAGTCCTGGCGCAGTCCTGAGATTTCTCTCACCTTCCTCAACAGAAAAGTTGGACGAGACACTGGAGGGAGGGAAGGGGCCAAGGACAAACATCCTTAGTGTCATGTTGACATCTGAGCAATGTTATCCCAAGAAAGGGACTACACTTGTGACACATTATAAATATGAGCGGTCGGGGACCAGCAAATGGCATCATGGTTACGTCACTGGACTCCCACGTAGTCGACCGCGGTTCGAGTCCCAGACCAGTGGCTTAAACTCACACTGGGTGCGTACCCAAAATCTTGAGAGGAGAATGGAGGAGAAGGGATTGTGGCAAGGCCATCCCCCTCCCCGGGGGGTGATTTCTCACTTTCTGTCTCTCTGTCTCTCTCTGTCTTTCTGGCAAGCACACATGCCCTATTTTGGAAAAAAAACATGCCCTAAGGGAAGAAAAAAAAAAAACAAAAAACAAAAAACCTCTCAAAAAAAAAAATAAGTTGGACAGAGGAAGACAAATACTCTTTAAAAAAAAAAGAATTATTTACTTAATGTTATTATTTTTTAAATTCGCTAAAGGGTACACGTGCTCACAAGGAAGAGAGAGAGCAAGAGAGTGAGAAAGCAAGCCTCCCAGTCCATAATTCAAACCGCGATCAGCCACGTGGGAGTCCAGCTTCCCAACCACCACACCACCTGCTGGCCCAAACAAATACAGTTTAAAGGAGGGAGGGAAGAACATTTGATTATCCCCAAAGTGCTCATTGCAGTCGATCCCCATTCTCACCCCTCCCCAACCAACACCCCCCCCACCAGTCTCAGGCATCCGCTAATCTTGCTGTCTTTATAGACTGGCCTTCTCTGAATATTTCACCTAAACAGAGTCAGACAATACAGTCTTTTGCACCTGATTCCTTCTCTCGGCATCACGTTTTGAGTTTCATCTATGTAGAAGCAGACATGGTACTCTGTTCTTTTTTCAGTGCTGAATAGTATTCCACCACCTGCATCCAATACATTCTATCACCCAGTGACTCTGTGGTGAACATCTGGTCCGCGTGCAGTTTGGGGGTTCTTAGGTGCAATGTTTCTACAACCACTTGCACGTAAGTATTTGTGGGGACATTTTTCATTTTTCTTGGGTAAATACTAAAAGCAAAATTGCTGTGGTTTTGATTGGCTTTTACTGAACAGAATCACAGAACACCAGAGTCGGAGCTATGGTATGATCTAAGCTTTAACAAACAAGGAAACTGGAGTACAAAGACAGACGTGAATTGCTCAGTCATAGTTCACTGGTGACAGAGAGAGACGGGATCAAACGCAGGACTTCCCATTCTTCCTTACTTTTCAGTAAGATCAGTTTTACATATTGTGCCCATCCTTCCAAAAACAAAACCAAAAGCCAAACAACCCTCTGGAGCCTTCTCCCTTTGCCTCCAACCTCAGCTGGCTGTGCTCCCTGGGCCAGAGCCGCCATGGGGAACGTCCCTCCTTCATCGGCCCTGGGAGTCGCCTTCGCCTTTTGCAGACA